ACATCCTTTTAAGTTAGAGCATCCCAACCACTTCACGCTACCAGAACAGTTTTCGTAGTTTCGGATTGTCTCACAATTCGAACATCTACGGTGTTAACATAGATTCGTGTGTACGCTGGTTAAAATGAAGTATGAAAAATTTGGAGCGTTACACATCTTGTAAAACCTCTGATTTATAAACATTTCATTCAAGTTAAAAACATAACGATTTGATTTAGATACATTTCGGTGACATTTCGAGATTACAACTTGAAAAAATAATAGAATTTTAGTATTTTAAGACACATTTTTGAAGGACATGCATAACCAAAGAAAAAGGTTTGGAAATGAAAATGAAGTATAGTAACAAAGTCAATAAAAATGGTGGTAGTATACCAGGGTAAATTTTGAGTCACTAAGAAATGTATTACTGGTCGATCTTTTTTGATGATCTCTCCTGTGTTACTTAATGAAGCATCGTTAGATCTCAGTTACAGATCTAAATTATTATGTTATCTGCGTTAGATAAATAAGCATAAATGTAGAATATAACATAACGGTAAGTGCTTTGTAAACAGTAGATATATTTTATTTACTTTTATAATAAGATATTTGAAACCATATATATGGTGTATTTCATATTGAAATAATAAATGCGAAGTTATAAAACAATATTAAGAAACGATATTATTATTAAATAATGACTTTGAAGAAAAAAAAAACAAGTGTTTACAGTAACCGAAAATTAAATAGGAATTTTAAAAATAATTGAAGATGAAGCCGAACTGGTAATCAAACAAAATGTTCAAATTTCATTCCGGAACTGGAAATTAAATCATTTAAACCAAGCTTGTGTTATGATGATAAAACGTTTTGGAATCTTTCATTTCAAAACCTTTTTTTAAAATTTTGATGTTACAATGTATTTGTCACCAATAAAGGAAAAATGATTGCTTACAATTAATATTAAAATAAAAAGAAGAAAAGAAAGAGAAACAAATTATGCTTTTCCTGTAGTTCTCCTTCACTTACTTTGTTCAGTAGATTTCTAGTATAGCAAACAGTCTAGTATTTTATTTTTTATCTATTTGTTGTCCTTGAGAGTATATTTAAATCAAATAAGGAGGGAAAAAATCCTCTTAAAGCAATACTTGATGATGAAAATATTAACAACACCACAATGGTTTTATACTTGGAAAGACAGACTTCAATAAATTTATAAAGAATTAAATACACTTCAAATATGAAGAATTCGATACATTTGTATACAAATGTTTTATAAAACTACAGAATTTATTTCGTAAATAACTTCAAATTTAAACTTTATGTTTCTTTTTTTTGTTTGACGCTAAATAGCTCTTTGTTTTGATTTGTTCAGAAAAAACCCGATCAATTAAATCAGTGTTTCCTAAAGTGTGGTACGCGTATCCCCAGGGGTACGGGAACAGTTTAGTAGGGGTACGCGTTCTTATACGAAATATCTTACAACAAACGAAATTTCACAAAATTTTATTTAAAAACAAAGCTAGCCATAAAAATTTACGATTACGCATTTTTCTATTGCCAATTTTTGCAGAGTTAACAGTTAATAATTAGTGGTGTCAACAGTCAGTTGTGATTTCTAACTTTTGTGCAACTTTTTTATAGCAAAAACACATTCATTTTTGTATTAGTGGTACACAGAGTTACGAAAAATTTAGAAAGGTTACTCAAAAGTAATAAGTTTGGGAAACACTGAATGTGATGCCCTGATTCAGGCTTCTCCAACTTGTAGAAGAAGATACAACCTTTTCTTATTAGGTCTTGAAGGGCTAGAGGAAGGACTTGGTTACTCCAACCATTTGAAACAATGGGTTCATGTTTGGAGGATATAAACTTGCTTTACTTCAAAATATACTATTAAAATACAATTCATACGCAAAATTTAATACATATAATATTTTGCATTAAGATATTTTATTTTAGTAGTTAGGCTAAATTTATTTATTTATTAATTTTTTTTTGTTGAGAAATTCATTCTCTTCCTACTGTTTATTGGGAAAAATGTCCCTGTATAGAATACGAGTTACTACTGATTTCGTATTATTAATAATCACAATTTATTGTTAACTAGTGGACCATCATCCTCTTGATATATCTCACCCTCCCTCAAAACTTCACAAGGTTTAGGACATTGCTATCCGTTTATCATCAAGAAACTAAAAACAGTTACTTACCAATCACTGGTTTTGTGAGAGTCAACCAGCGAAACAGCTTCCGCTGTATTTTTTTTTGTTAGCTCCAAGCTAGCTGTACTCATTTAGCAGATACTAATGCACAATAGCTCAGTAATCTTAGCTTAGATCAAAATTGTCTGACATTTCGATAGTACTCAGACAATTCAAGTAATTGAAGGTAGCAGTTTGTAAAAGGTTTATTTCAATAACATGTGAGTATGCTTGCCAATTATAACTGACGTATCTATCCACGCTTCTGAGACACCGCGATAAAAAGAATCTTTTCGATCGTTGCTTTAGTAATTCTTTTTAAAGAAGCTTATAAGACAACTATGGTCGTTTCAAAACGCATATGATGTGACAAAACAACAATCCTTTTCCTGCCTTAAATTGGTTACTTTCCATTAACACCTCCAATGGTACTAAACCAAGTATAGGTATAACTCGAGCTTGGTTCATATTGTTCATCTCATCAGATCATTTCACCGACACGATCGTTTTGCAGAGGATTCATTGAAGCGGAATTCGCCGACAATATCGTTTCAATGGCACTTAGTGGTAATCATTAGTATGTTATTAAATAACACATTTCAGAAAGTTTGCTGGCACCTGGGGAAGCAATTATTAGCACAGGAAAGATGCCTTCAGTTTGAAATAAAGTATATGATGTCGTTTATTTTGTATTAAATTTTTTGATTTATAAAATATCCTTATTTAAAAATTGATTCAAAAATCTTTAACTAAAATTTCACTTGGAAAATTTGATGTGATTTTTTTAAAACATTTTTGTTGAAAAGAATCGTTCTGACAAATTATTCTGTATAAAAGTGATGAGCGATTCGCTTCTACATATTATTATTCACATGCAATTTATTATTTCGTCATTTAATTTTCACATTATTTAGTTAACATTTCGCCATTACAGTCATATTTTCGGGGGGAAGCAATTGTTTATATTATTATATGTAACCAACATAACAAATGTTCTACAACATCGCTTATTTTTATTAATTTTTTAAATTTCGTTTATTTTTATTAAATTCATTAAGTTTTCGTACTGTATATGCCATTGTTTATTTTTATTAAGTATTTGATTTCAAAAATGTTTAATTAAAGTTTGACTTGAAAAATTTGTTACGCAATTTTTAAAAAAATATTTTTGCTGAAAAGAATTATTTTAACAAATTGTTCGATTAAAAGGTGCAAAACATTCGCTCCGACATATTATTATTTCCACACGTAATTTATAATTTAGCTATTTAATTTTCACGTTCTCCCTCACAGTCATGTTTTTGCTTGGAAAACAATGGTTTATATGTAAGCAACAAAAACAAATGTATTAAAAATGTGCAAGTATTGATTCTGAATGGTTTTAGTAAATATTCATGGTATTAATTAATTTGTACAGGGGAAAAATAACTGCATGACTCATTTTATGTCTTTTTTTCTTTCAGGCAGTGTTCTACGAACCTCTAAGAATTCGTGAAACATAGAAAAAGGTTCACGGAAATATAATTGTAATCACGGAGTTTTAAATAACTCAAGTAGAAAAAAATGATGAAATAACTAACTATAAGCAGAGCTGTAGTCAGGAGATCAGATAAAGTGTGTTTAAACACAACACCCCTAAGCCGTTTCAACAATTATTTTCAATTTAAATCTTGTTTTATCAAAACTTTTCGAAGTTTATGAAACGAAACTTTAAAAACTTTTGAGCTTATATTATAAAAAAAATATACGAGAAACTCAAAAATAAAGTACAAATTATAGGTGATGAATACTTCATTACAAATTTAAAAAATCTCTACAGTTCGAACATTTAATAATTGTCCTCTCTAGATCTCAACAATAACCAAATTTTAAAAAAAGTTAGTTTCAAGATAATTTTTATGATCGCCGTAAAATAATTCATATTAAATATATAAAAAAAACTCTAAATGTCTTTCCGAGCTAAAACTTGAATATCAAATTAGGAAGAAAATATAAATCAAAATTGAATTGATTTATGTGTGAGAAATGAATCATTGGTGAAGTGATTGTGTTGGCGAAATTAATCGACGGCGAAGTGGTCATGTCGGCGGAATGAGTCACTTAAATGATCATGTCATGAGCAGACGGCGAAATGATCGCCGTATAATCACCACATTATGCCTTTAAATACTTCAGTTTTCTTGTTAGTTCCCTCATTAGTACAAGCAAGGAAAAGTTTTGAATCCAGTATAGTTTTCCTAAAAGTATCCTATATACTTGCAGCCTAGGCGCAGTAAATAAAACTTATTAATTTTCTTCGTTTTTCTCTTTTTTTTAAATCCTTTCTGTCCTTATTGTGCGGTAATATATATATATATATAT